ACCAAGTATTTAGCTGTCATCATCACCACCACGGGGGTGTCACGTGAAAATATCGCGTCCCTGATTGGCTGCTGCCGCTTCAAACGGCTCAAAGTTGTTCGAGTTGCTCGTCTGTTTCGAGCCGGACCCGATCTCAGCAATTCGTGTCGATCTAGGGAACGCTAGGGAACAACCCGCCAGCAACCTCAAAATTGCTGGAAAAGTTGCCCCGTCTGAAGCGGGCCTAAGGAATGACTGCCCCTCCCTAAACATTTGCTGCAGTGTTCCAGAACCGATCTGCCTTACCTTCGAGGCCGATGTTCCGCCGCAGCTTCCTGAACATTTCTTTTCGGCTGGGCATCTTCACGGGTCATTTGATCCGGGGGACAAACGGAGTTCAGGATCGCTTTCTTCCGAATGCAGGTTGTGCCGGTTCTACTGGCCGTCGGGCAGTAGAACGTTCAAGCGATGCATTGCTGCGCGTGCTTGATCGCTCGCTTCCTGGGTAGAGTGTACTCTATCCTGGGAGCACGACCTTCTCTATATTCACGATTACGTCACCTGGAGCGCGCCTACGGGGAGCGCTGTTCCTAGGGTGCCTCAATGAAGGCACTCTAGCTGTTCCGTGATGCTGCCACGGCCGGACCAACGTTACTGGAGCAAGCTCAGTTTCACAGCTCCGCCTGCGACGTGGGCTCAGTGGTAGTCACGAGAACTAGGAGCGCTGCAGTCGAGCCTTGCTTCCAGATTGTCCGGCCCGCCAAGTTTGAATAAACATATTGCAATAAGGAATATTCACTGGGCGCCATATTTGTGGGTGCTGTCTAGAGCGCATGCTCAGAACGAGCCCCCATTAATAGCCTGCTAAGACCGGCCATTTTGACGGTGTGGAATGCACGTTGCAAAAGAACCCTGGAAGCTCGCCATCAGCACGCGCCCACCAGTCGTGCACACAGCTATTGCCGCCAGTGAAAACTTCCTATACACCTTTGCAAGTGGGATCCCGGCTTAACCTCGAACCGCGCGCCAAGGTGAGGCGGACCTACTCTCCAGCCAGGACGTTTGCTGGTTGTCGTACAATTTCGCCAAGCGTCTCTCGCCGAAGCGTACACCACTGAGCGCAGAAAGAAATTTTAAAAAATAATTATAAAACGTACACGTGTCGTCTTCGACAGCGAAATAGCAAGGACAATTAAATAAAATGCCTAAAGCGGTAACAAATCGAAAATGTTCAAAAAGATCTAAAGTCTCAAGGCGCTCTTTTCAGAATGCGCCAAAAGTCGCATGGCCTTTGCATTAACGATGGCTGCGTTCGCGGCAGCTCTGCCTTCCACAACATGCAGGAACAGAGGCTGTGATCGTTATAAAGTCAGCTCCAACCCTTAAAGATGCCCCGTCCTACAATATGTGACGCTACGATTCTGCGCGGATACCTCCTCCTGCGTTCCGAGACAGTAATACCCTTGTTACACGGGCACATGTAACTGCAGTTACGCTAAGCCACAGATAGCGCACAATACTTGCGGCCAACATTCTGCGGCTATGCAGTCAAAGCTATGGGCTAACGTGCGCTCGAGCATCTTGAGCATCTATCGAAGCAGTGCGCTCGCGCTCTTCACTTCTTCTGATATAGCTGTCAGAGAGTATATATAGTGCGGTAACTGTGGTTCCGCGAAACAGCAGTTAAGTTGAGTTAACCGCAGTTAACTGTGCCCATGTAACAGGGGTATAAGTGTGCCGCTAACGTTAGCCATCGCCGATGCAGCAAACGGCACCATCTTGTCATCGCGCACCCCAATGACGTGCCCCTGGCGCACCCCAGCATGGCGGAAACGGTACGAGGCGCCAGCATCGCTCAAAATGGCAGCGCACAGGAGCCTTTCTTGCAAACGTGTACATTCCCCAAGCATCAAGGAGAATGTAGGGATTGGTGTTCCACGCGCCGCACGTGCTGGCCACAGCAGTAGTAACTTTTCTAAAGCAAATACCTAAAACAAACGGCATCTTGCACGCGCGTTCGTCAACGCTTTATTTTGGTTATTTACTTCGAATCTTTTGCACAGGGAAGGCGTGCGCGTGTGGCGCGCGGAACACCAATCCCTGCAGTCTCTTTGATGCTTGGGTAATATAGCAAATGGTCTATAACAAAACTTGAGCTCGGGCGAGTTGTTCCTTCATACTGACACTTCACTGCGCAAGGAAACAGACGCACACAAAAATAAATTTCAAACACTCAAGGAAAGAACACTCACAATGCGCTGGCTCTGATCTCTGTGGTGTATTACACTTCATCTTCATCATCTTTTTTTTTTTCTTTTTTTTTGCTATTATACACATTGAAGTAAAAAAAAGGAAGAAAAGAAAAAGAAAAGGAAGCTCTCAACGCGGTGGTAATAGATGACGCGCGAGACAGGGAAGCAAGATCCGACTGCAGCGCCACTAGTTCTCGTGACCGCCACCTGGGCTTGGCTCCAGTAACGTTGGGCCGGACTGGATAGGCGCTCGCTGTCTTGCAGTTTGCCCAGTGAGGCATGATAACACCTACGTTTCCGAAGCGGCACGGGTACATAGTACTTAGACGCTTTGCAGTCGTGCCAGATTACATCCGCCATTACTGACTTTCTCTTGGCTTACAGTATAATCTAAAATGGCAATAACCTGGCCTGTTAGGGTAATGATGAAGTGAAGTAAACGGAATACGAGGACACAAAAACTGAAGGCTGGTCATGGCGGCGCCCATACACAGCTGCTGCAAAGCGTCTACAGGCTCTAAGCGCCATTGGGTAGCCGGCAGCTCCGCCACAGCGCGACAGGAGCGTGCGCTTGAGCGTTGTTCAAAGCTGTGCACGCGTGCTCTCTTCCCGTCTTTGGAAATGCCACAGAAAAAATATTCACGACTAGAGACTAAATCGAGCAAACAGTGTAACAGACACAAAGACGAGTAGAAGGAGTGGATGGGACGAGCGCTGACTGATAACGACTGTGGAAGAAGCATGTCTCTTCCACCGTGCTGACAACTAAAAGTTTATTGAAGAAACATAAAAACCAGCCGCAGCAACCACAACCAAAAATTATCAAAAATTATAAAAACAATTATTAAAAATTATAAATTCTGTTTACAAAAGTTTTATAATTTTTATAAAAATCTTTTTCAGTTTGCTTTGACTCTGGTAAAAGCAAACTGGCGAAGCCAGCAAACAAGAAGAAGCGAACGTGAAAATCGTTTGTTAAACTATAGTGGAGCCTGCTATGCCCTCTTCCTTACGTTGTGCTGAAATGTGACATGCGCGTAAGGTACTGCTAGATACTCGGTGACTGACGGTTAATTCTGTCTATGAATTATGAGAATCAGTAGAAAAAAAACATAATTACAGCGCTGGTCGAAAACCTGAATGCTGACTCTCTCCGAGGTAGTGCCTCGGCCATAGCCTTGACACAAAAATCGCAGGATACGAGCATTTTCCTGTTTATTCATTTGATTTCCATTATGCAATAATCAGCTAAATGCTTCACTAAGGGAATTGATGACCTTACGCACACATCGTAGATGGCTACTTGTTCAAAACAAGGCTCATTCTTGGTATCTGGTTTTTTTTACTTGGTGTTTAGGGATTCAGGTGGTGGAAAGGGGGGTATCGGTTGCCGAGTGGACTAGTGCACGCCAGCTCGGAGCACGTGGAGCGAAAGCTCGCGCTGCAGAACCCAGTGATCCTGGGTGGTTCAATCCCCAACCCTGCCCGTTTCGATCTGGATGAGCATCGCGTGCGGTCTTGTATCACTACTGCCTGAGGCGCGTTAAAGACCCCAGGCTAGCGATTGTACTGTATTGGCTTAATTTTTTATCCACAGCTGAGAGACAAGTCGAACGTTGAGGCAGACTTAAGTTCAGGCAGTATAAACTAACCCGTACACTTTTTTTTTGTTGGTGAAAAGACACGCTAAAAGTCTTTTTCGATGTTGTTGTGCATTACGGGACACAAGTCGTACAACAATTCACCATTAGGCCACGAGAAACAGGCCCATTTGGGCAGCGGGGCTAGCAGGCCGGGTGGAACAGGGAGCATAGTAGGGTGTCAGCGAAACACCATGCAGAAAGTACCACATGCTTTCTGTCCTGACAGAAAACGCCGTGATGTGGCCGGCATACCGGGTGTCCCAAACAGCGACCAGGCTCTTTAAATCGACTGCAAAATTCGGTTTCTTCGCCTATCGCGCTACGATTTTGTGCATCGTTGCCCACAGATGGTGCATTTTTTCTATAGAATTTTCAAAGTGCGAGCTTGCCTGGGGAAAAAGTAAAAAAAGAAAAAGTCTTAAATCCAACAAAAATGCAGCGAAGCCACCGGTCTTCCAACAATAGAGAGCCCCACTGTTTGAAGACCGGTGGCTTTGCTGCATTTCCAAAGGAGTTAAACCTCTTTCTTTTGTGTTGGAGCATGTTTGAGCCGTTTCTTTCGTGGTATGCGGTTTTTCACCAACTTCCTTGGGTATTTACAATGAATGCACGGGCCCGCCACTGTAGATAGTTCTTTGTTGTTGTTGACCCGCGGATGTCGTGCGGGTTGATGCTCGATCAGATGTTCTTTGGTGCCGAGTCGGGGGGGAGGGGGGGGGGGGTGCGACGGAGGCTTCGTGATTGTACAGTGCAAACTGTTTATTTACGCTATATTTACACGAATACTTTTGTTACATACAATGCACATATCTGCTATCTATGTGCAAAGTAGGAGATTTCTGGTGGGCCCGTTACGGGCTCAAGATCCCAGCCAAAAAGAATCGCCCTTTCTTGCCCGGTCACGGGCTTTCAAGGCACCAACTTCCTTGTTATCGGACAAGAGTTAGCCCACGCTTGAGCAAAGAGTTTTTTGTAGAATGAGAATCAAGGAATCTTGAAAAAGACATTGATGTTTAGTTTATTTATTGTACTATTTATTGTTTTATTATATTTTAATAACATTTGTAATGCGGTCAGAAATCACTGCCCGTTCGGATCCCTGCGGTTTGTAGGTTTACCTGTGTTATTATCCTTTGTTAACCAGGCCGTGTGGCAGATGCTGGCGCCTTCCGGGGCAAGCGTCCCGACGTACGCATACCAGCGGATCGGCTGTCAATACGACGTACCCCGGTTTGCACATGCAACCTTCACCGGCGCAATACGGCGTGCAAAGTCTACGCTTGTTGCTCTGGCAGCCTTCCTGGCAGTTGTGTAGGCAGGTGGAGAACACCTGGTTCCGGCCGGGACAAAGAGGCAGGCAGAAGTCGAAAGGGACGCACAATCCCTTTGGCGTCCTCCTGCAGAAATATTTGAGGGATCATTTTATGCCGATGCCCTGCATTCAATCATCCTTGCGCGAATGAAAATTAGCGAGTTGTATATTATAGGCTCTAAAAAAAGTATGTGCGTCTACTTTCACGCACAACACTCGGAGAGCCAATCAGGGCAACTTACGGAGGCAGCTGAGCGAATGACGATGCCGAAACATATGTTTAGACCAAGAAACGCAGTCTGAGTTGTGACATTAAGCAATGAAAGCGTGACGTTTTGCATTGCTTAATGTCACAGCTCAGACTGCGTTTTTTTTTTTTTTGGTCTAAGCATATATTTCCACATCGTCATTCGCTGAGCCGCCTCCGAAAGTTGCGGTGATTGGCTCTCCGAGTATTCTGCAGGAAAGTAGACGTAGAGACTTTTTTTAGAGTGTATACTGGGTGTCCATTTAGGCCCTATAATTGCTTTAAAAAAGAGCTAAGGAATTTATACTAATGCATAATGTGCAGGTGCGTTATATGATCAAGGGTACGTAATTAAGTGCAAAACGAGCGTATTGGCAACAGTAATTTAACACGAGGAAGATACATAGAAAGGGGGAACGGACAACGAAGACTTCCAACTAGGGGAAAGTCGTCACGATTGTTTATTCATTAACTTTTCAAATAGTAAAAATAAACAAATGGTTTCAACTAAAACCTTGCTGAGCGCAATCGAAAACCATTAAATCAGTGAATTTTTAGGACACGTGGAAAACACGGTGTTGTACAAAACTTACGAATCGTGCAACAGGTGGATAACTGGTGTTGCATAAACGCGAAAGATAATTTTATCTTTGTTTTCGTAGCGCCAGTCTTGCGCAGGTTGCCCTAGTAGTAACTTTAGCGCACCACCGCGCTCCTTAGGTGCTCTAAATGTTTTCAGAAAATGTAATGATTTACTGGTTTTCAATGACGCTCATCAAGTTTCAAATTGGAACCATATGTTTATTTTCAATACTTCAAAATTATTAAACAAATTTTGGCTAATTACCCAGCTTATTTTGAGGATTCGCCCCACACATTATGCCCCTTGGCCGTATAATTCACCTCCATAGGCAGCATTTCTGTAGCTTTCATGATTTTTTTTTTTCAAAGTTGTATAGCCTACATACACCGCCTATATATTATGCTGTCGAGTTACCCCCTCAGTGGCCTAGGTGCTCGGTATTCTTAGCCGGGTATTGAGGCCATCTAACAGCTCTTACGTTGTACTCGCAGTGTCTCAATTCCCCTTGATTCTACGCACTTTACATACAACGCTGTAAACACTTGTTGTCATGTAAAAACAGATTTCTACACTCGGAATTAAGGAATGCAATGCCCTTTTATCTGTTCGTAAAGAGTGTGCCGGAAAAAACAAGCCAGAAAAACGTAATGACCGTCATTGCTTCGCGGTTAAGGGTGCAAACCTTAGAGCCTGTCGACGTATGTTAACTTAATATTACTGGTAAACATGAGTGTTATTATTATAGCCGCTACTCAGGTCAATTTATTTTTAATTTCAACAAACATTGCGAATCAAAAGCGAGATACTTAATATTTGACTATTTTAAAATATGTTTTTACAACTATAATTCATCAAAACATTTATCATTGCAGGAGGGGATCTTTCTGAAATAATATAAAGAGAATTTAATGCGCTAAATGTATAGGTTTGACTTATCGCACAAAAGTAAAACGAAAACTTGGGGGACGCTTAGAGGGACACTACAGTGAAAAGAAAAGTTTTTACAGCGGAGTTGTTAAGGGCTATATTTCCCCAGTTTTGTGTCCGGTACTAAACAAATGTCGACACAAAACTCTGGACAACTATCGCCATCTAGGAGCGACGGTGGCAACCAGACAACCAGTCTGGTTGCCGCCGTCGCTCATAGATGGCGGCAACCTTTCCAGCTATCATAGAAGGATGGATAGCTGGAGGAGTTGGTGGGAATTCATCGTAGGAAACAGCGCACGGGACGAGCGCATAAATAACAACCCCGGATCGTTATATAAATGCCTGATTCTTTAATCGTTCAAATCGCCAATTATTACAACGGATTACAGTTACCGTTACCGATAAAAAGTAACGCGCGATACCTTTGCGTTCGTTTCAAATTGTGCATTAACAGGTTTTAATGATTAGGTGGTACACGTCTGCATAAACGCCATATTTCAACAAACATTATGTTCATGCAGAAATCGAATATAATTAGTTTTTTTTTTACGGTTTACCTAAGCACTCACGAAAAAAATCGTAGACAAATGCCAGAAACTTAAAAATGCACACAACTTGGTGCCTAAAAACACGAAAAAAAAAGTAACTATTTTTTTTTTTTTAATTTTGGGAACAAGGAGAAACAGTAACGGGTAATTAGGTTACCCGTTACTTGAAATGAGTAACGTAAGTACGTTCCCCATTACTGTTTTGAAAAAGTAACGAGGACGTTACTACGTTACCGAAAAAAGTAACGCGTTACACGTAATGCCGTTACCTGCTACAAGTTACCGCCAACACTAGCTAGCGGGGTTACCGATCTCCCGGTTGCATATCCAAACTTCCGTGAATCAGCATGACCGCTTCGGCATCGCCCCAGCAACTTATGTAAGTTATGCTGCTCAATGATTAAAATAGTAAAGTGGTTGATACATTTCCTCGACCGTCTTCCGAGGTGATCCCCCTCTGGAAAGTATGTCGCGGTAGAACGAGGGGCCTACGGTAGATGGTATAATGTCGTAGCATACGAACCTCGTCAGTCTGAAGTTCCCCTGGAACTGCAGGAAGAATAAAAAGTATATATTTACATTGATTGCCGCAGCCATGAGGCCTCGCAGCCATGAGGCCTCGAACATATCTCGTCGGGCAGTATTTACGTACGACGTCCTCGATGTATCCGACGATCTTCGGGCTTTTTGTCGGTGGCGGGAACAACTTCTCGAATATATAGGGGTACGCGCTCTCGCTTTCGGCGCCGCTGCTGGAGCCGTAGCCCGAGCAGAAAGCTGGAGCAAACTAAGTGAAAACCGCCGCGGTAGCAATGTTTTTCCGATTTATGGAGAACTGGAGAAGAGGGAGGGGTGGTCAGGGTACATGGTAAGACGAGGAGGCGTTTGACACGTGCTCTTCTGTCTTGACGCCGCGCTGTATTGTCGCGTGCTGTTTTGACGCGGTGCTGTTTTGACCCTGCTGTTTTGTCGCGTGCTATGCTGTCGCGTGATGTTCTGTCGCGTCCTCCCGTGCGCCTTAAGAAATCCCTGACGAACGCAGCGCAGCCGCACTGCCACCACCAGGAGAACGTGAACCGCCCACCGATGCAGCGCGGTCTGGCGTCGTGCGTCCCAGACGAATGTGGCATTGGACACCGGGCAGTTAGCCACCCCCAGGCGTCTAGGGTCTCCGCCGTAAATGAAATATTTAGCCAGTGCAGTACAACTGCTAGCCTGTGGTCTTTAGCGTGCATTACGCCGTAGTTATGCCCAAACGCACGGCGGTACGATGATTTTTCAGATGGAAACGAGCAAGGGCGGGGATTTAATCCAGAAACTCTGGGTTCTCAGTGCGAGCTTTGGCTCCACATGCCTCTAGCTGCATTGCGTTAAAATACTCGGCCACCAATCCAACGAGCTGGTTTCCTTTAAAGGCTTTAACGAACGGAAGAAATAAAACTTGATGTTACTAATGGTGGTCGTCGCGTGTGTGTTCTGAAAACCATTTGGCCAGACGCGCACTTGTACGAGGTAAAAAATTACAATTGGTTATACTCTTCAAGATTCGCATTGCGCATAGTGGTTACATACGTCGCTATGTTACAGCAAAAATATTTTATAGTCAAATTTTGGGAATATTTTAAGTTTTTGTTACGGTGGAAATAACACCATACTTAAACATTTTCTTCTCTACTTCAGTTCAACAATTAAACTGAAATAATTGTCAGAAAATACCCTCTTCGGCGTCATCGAATTAGCTTATGCGTCTTTGAAGTGATGAGGTAAGCTTGTGTAGACAGGCCCTTTAGCAGCCCTACCATAACTTCAGCTAAATTACGCTAGGGTTCCGTTCATGGAAACTTACCTGATAAAGCCAGGCTTGCAGGCACACTCCATGTAGCACGTGCCGGAACAGTACGGTCGAATCGGCCGATGACATACGAGGGGACATCTTGACTCGCAGAGGTTGTAATCTTCGTTCAGGTGCGCTCGATTCTTACAATGATTACACTGGGCCTGGGTGATGCAGTCTCCCCAAGAGTTTCGAAGGTAGCCAGGCCTGCAGACGCACTTGGAGCAGTCTGCCTGGCGTACAGAAAAACGCGGCGCTTCGTGGCAGTAGCGGTCTCGCTCGCGGCAGTCTCTTGAGAGTCTTTCTCGGTGACGACATTTCAGGTTTTTCACGTGATCTGTAAAAGTAATATTATGTAAAAAAAGAAGCAGGAGAACTCATCAGTGGCCAGCAAAACTTGACATTTCCAGCACTACTTGCGGCTCAGTGTCCACATGTTGTAATAATATAGCTACAATATAAGGCAGCCTAATTAGGCTGCCTTCTAAACAGCTCATACTGGTTCTTGGTGAGTTAATCATAACCTTGACAACAGGTATTTCACCAAATTTAATAGAATTCTGAAAACCCCGAGGCTAGGGGAAAAAAGGGGGGGATATGTCAAACACCTTAGACTCAGACAAAGCGGAAAGTTTATTTTACAAGAAAATTCTTAAGTATAATGATTTTTCCTGTTTACCAAATTTATTCGTGTTCACCTAATTGTTCGTTTGTTCACTGAATCGTTTCTCTGTTCATCAAATTTTGTTTTCTAAATTTACTTTTAGTTGAGAATAACTGAAATCAGTTGGTTTCACATGAAATAAAGTATTACAAGTTCATTGTACTTGTACATGTTTTGGAAGGAAGGCGGGTAGTTAAAAAAAATTTGAAAAAAATTCAAGAAAATAATGTTTTTGAAGTAAACTGCCTAAAAATAGGGACAGAAGAAAATAGTTACTGACAGTACGCCGTGTTGTGTCTTGTTAGCATCTCTTTTATTGTGTCCCTGTCTTTAGGCATTTTACTTCAAAAATGTACAACCCACTAGCCCAACTTGCCGTCTTAAAATAGTTTCGCACGCCTCTTCACCGTAAAACTGTCAAGCAGGCCTTGAGTACCTTCCTTTGTAATACTCTCTACTACTAAAAAAAAAGAAAAAATAGGCAGCGGGTTTTACCTTCAAATTTGTGTAATGCATGAAATGCATTGTAGGGAATTGGCAAGGGAATTGGTGTCACGTGTTGTATATTTTTCTGCTAAATTTAGCGACGAAATTAAGTGGTTGTATAGATCATGTGAAGTCAGGTCATGTGACGTCAGGTTTTTCTGCTAAATTTAGAGGGAAATCTGGATTGGTGTCTGGTAAGAAGACTTGAATTTTCGCCTCTAAATTTAGCGGCTATCTGAATTGGCGTGCAGACGACACGTGACGTAAAATTTTTGCAAAATGTAGCAGGGAAAATGAATTGATGTTTAGGCCAAAAGACGTGAATTTTCTCGCTAAATTTAGCGGGACATTGAGTTGACGTATAGGTCACGTGCCGTCAATTTCCCAATGTCTATAGTTCATGTGACATCAGGTGACGTCACTTAACGTGATTTTTCGTGTTAGATTTATCGGAAAATGCATGAACGGACGGACGCACGGGCGGACAAAAATTTTGGAATTGGGAGGTAGCGTTAAAAAGAATGTTATGCCTTAAAACGAGGGGTACAATATTTTGTTAAGGAGTTCACATTATATGTTTATAACTGCGAATTACATATAAAAATGATGCTATTTTAGTTTGGACTACCATACAAATGCAAAAATAATGGGACATTAGCTTCCGGCGCAAATAAGGTCGCTTTGAATGAATGAAAATCTCCCGCCTGATAAAATAGACCTGTGGCAGTGGAAGGACGGTAGGAGGTATTAAAACATTTAATTATATCTTTACGTTAAATGTAAAACCTAGTCGTAATATTAGACTTTCCCGTTAAATGTGAAACGAATAGATAAGGTTTACGTCTTTCGTTTCAACACTTCATTTCCTCAGCAGTGCACGTCCGTCACGAATACATTGTCATACTGCTCACTGGGCATGCCAAAAACCTAGACATCATTCTACGAGAGTCCTATAAGGTGTGCAGCATTCGCTTATCAAATCAGAAAGTGAAATGAAAGATTATCGAACCGCTACGACGTAGTGCGAAAGGGGATCAACAGTAGGTGTGCTATTACGCCTCTAATCAACCCCAAGTCTACTAACGAACAATGCCAGCTAAGGGAAAAGAAAGGACCGAGTGCTCTCAAACACGGGACTGCTAGTGTTCTAATTGTTTCCCTTTCTTAAATCAAACGCTGCCATCACTACTACTATAGTTACTGGAAAGGGGAGAACAGCAGAGAGGAGCTTCAGTTGCCCTGCCTCCAGCGCGGGCTTTCTACTTTGAACACAACTTCGTCGTCTCGTTCACCTCGCGCGAGCGCACACAGCCAAATCATTACAAACGGCGTGCGAGCAGGGCGTCTGAAAGAGACGCCCTGACGTTGTGGGTTGCTATAGCCTGATTTGTAACGTATTTAAGGGACTATAGTCTGTTGTCTAGACATTTTTTTAAAAGTTGAAATTATATGCTGCCTGGATTCGCTGAATGGGAAGACTATACAATAATTGTATTAACTCAGGATTCAATCTTATCAAAGCTAACTCAAATTTTGACACTGTCTTTCGCGTCGCATCTCTGGATCTAATACAGCTGAAGCTACAGTGGAAGCTATCTTGTTCCGTCTACTCCAGTCTCGGGTTAAAATCATCATGGAAGCTACAGAGTTGGAGTTGACAATCTTTACAGATTCCGCTGTATCATGTCACGTGACACGCGCTTCACACACAACACGGCGCTTCTTTCCTTCAATCTGCGCAGTTTCGGCGATGTCGCAAGAAAGAAGTGTGAGGAACGAATGACCAGGTGGCGTTTCGGGAAAACGCGGAAGGCCGTGAGCGTTGGCTCCGTTTCTCATAAAACGAAATTTGGCGTATGACTGTTTCATCCATATATAGACATACAGCTGCCACAGGCCGATCTCACCAGCTATAGTAGGACTACGCCACCAGTGCCAAACTGCAACGAAAAAACTTTTTTTTTTTTTTGCACGTGCGGCACTTTTGTTGAATCTCTGTCTGTGCCTGTAGAGCCTGAGACGGCACGAGCCATCTCGAGCACTATACCGTCCGAATTCTTTGAACTAAAGCTATGGCGATGTGACACACGCGTCGAACGCTTAGTGAAATTGATCTGTTGTTTTAACCCATACCTGCATTCTTATTGAAAAAAAACTGTGATTTAGCGTTGAAAAGTAAAGCGCGCCACGTTCGAAGAGAGGTTGTCGGCCACCAAACATTTCAACCGCGATTTCAACCAGCCACAGAATTCAACTGTAGAACAAAAAAACAAAAAAAAAATGGTAGCAGAGAGACGCTTCGAGACGCTTCGAGAATACTTCGTCAGCTGCGATTTCTTTAAAAACAATAACAACAAAAAAAAAGTAAATTATACAAAAGAAAAATGGAACGCTAGACACAGCGTCGCGCGCCTGGAAAACTAAGCTAGCGTCCGCTGCGTTTTCGATAAAACTCAAGTCTGCCTATGATGGTCTGATCAATACATCAAAACGCAGCTGCATTTTCTGAAAAACTTATTAGCAATGAGATATTTGATTGCACGCTGTTTCGCGCTAGGAATTAACCAAGAATAAAAGCCCGAACTTCCTCTGTGGTGCTGTCGTTCTCAACCTCCCCTGGTGTCCCATATAAAGGCAGCTGCGGCCAAGAAGACAATTTAAGATCGCAAATCTTCTTATATACCAGATTTGAAAATTCAAAACGAAAATACTCTTAACTATTTTATTGAATTTTTTTTTTTAATTTTTTGGCTTGGGGTAGATGGGTTTTATTAAAATTGCGATCTCTGCTTCATTTGTATTAAACTATAAAACAATCACGCCACGTCACACGGTTTGCCAGTGGTGCCTCCATAGATCGAGTTCGGAACATAAGTGATTACACTCTGGAAGCGCCTCTCACCTGGAACACCGTCGTTCACCCAAGGTTGCTTCGCTGCCAGTGACTGAGGTCCAGTGTGTTGTTCCCGGTTCACTCTATTAGTGTGACCCTTTCGGCTGTCACGATCAATACCATGAACACCTCTCCATTGGGTGTTCATCGGGTTGTCAGACTTGAAATGTGGGTCACCTGTAATAGCATTCAATAGAGTGCGTTCATCAACTCCGAAAATGTGCAACAATAAGCAAGATATCTTACGGAAATGTGCTTATTACTGTAAATGACTAAAACCGATGGAATTCGCCATACTATATTCACATATCCAGTGTGTCACAATCAGCGATATTGCTCGCGATTGAGGGAGAGTGTACTCTCTCGAGTGAAAGAAAGTGCCCCCCTCCAAAGACATATACATTTCTTCAAGCTATGTACACCTCTATGTCCCCGGATAAAGTGTTACAAAGCGAGACATATATGTACTTTGGTATGCTAACTGTCCTTTAAACACAAACAGCAATATATTGAACACGCGTTGTTGTTGTTGTTTGTTTGGTATGTGGTACTTGTTAGGCACTTTTCAGGGTACCTTTAATAAATTCTAATTTTATATAAGCCCGTGCGATGTTTGAGACTTGATTGTTGAAGGCAATAATGAGCGTTGTATGTTCGTAGTCTTTGTACTGTGTTGCATTTGAAAAACGCAAAAAGCATTGAGGCACGCGTAATGCGATGCAACTACTGTATAAGACAGTCTTCCTTAAGTTATTACAAAAAGTTCAAAGGGTTATTCTACCATTATGCCTGCACCGTGATCGTCCCGTCTCCCCGATGTTACCATAAATATGCGAGGCATTCAATGGAGTGGCCAGTGTTTGCGTTACGTTCTGCCAGTCTCTCGTGCAATGTCTCACTATCTTACCTCACTAATGCCCTCTGCCTCACCAATGCCCTAGAATTCCTTCAAAATCCAGCTGATCGATTTATTTCATATAACCAAAAGCGCAATTCCAGTACCTCGGCTTAATAAAACCTCAGCTGTGCCTCCCTAATCTCAGTACTCGCCGCAGAATATTGTGCATCTTTCTCTTCCATGAGATATCTTATCACCAGCCTCAACTCGGTCAATATTTACCGCTGTTTCCTCCTCGTTCATCCCCTACGACATTTGAACTACCTCGTACACCGTTTTGCATCCATCAGCGGAGCAGAAGGGGCGGCCTTACGCCGCCATCAGTGTGGGTGATTGGTTAATAGACGGTCATAGCAAACGCGAAACGATGATGTGCGCGCCGTGACGGACGCACTTGGGCGCTACCCTGATTGGCTCCGTCCAAAGGTCGCCTTGGCTGTCGGATTTAATGTGAAACGGATCACTTTGCTTTTCTAGTTTTACGACGCGCGTTTCTTCCCCTTGTACCGTGGCTGAATGGAATAATATCTTGGATCACAGAGTGCGCGCAGCAGTGACCCCGCTTTTTTTTTTTTTTAATGCTCCATCATCTGGAATTGTTACCTAATCATACGTGTTCCGTCATACCGACCGCCACTTGGGGAACACCCTTAGCATTGTTGTTGCTTTTTGTGAGCGTATGCAACCATGTTCTTCGTGCACAGGGCATTCCCGGGAAAAGGAGAACCGTGTTTTTCATACAGGGTAAATAATATACGCGTCGCAAAAAGCTCTAACTATTCATGAGAATGTGCCGCTAGCAGTGGAATAGAACGCGGACGTTTGAGAACATAACGTTACCCGGATGAAAGGATAACTGAGAAAGGTTAAATATCTCTATGAACCAACGTCCACCTAAGCGTAATAACGTAAAAATAGGAACTGACATTGGGGCGTATGTGGTATTTATATCAGTGAAAGAACACTAGTCAGCAATAAAGATAATATTGTTTCCTTTCTCGTTGAGAAGTTTTTTCGCTGTAGATGCTACTGGTGCCCACATTCTCATTTCTTATTTTGACGATATTAGGCTCTGGTGAACGTCGGTTCCTTAAAAATTTATATTTTTTTAACTAACTTTTTATCCAGGTAACGTCATGTTCTCAAACTTTCGCGTTCTTTGCCAACCGCTAACGTTCTATTCTCACTGGGTTCGAGCTTTCTTTTGTGCATAGTTTATTTACGCAAACCGAAAAACACGGTTCTCTTTTCTCAGAAACGTCCGGTACAATTCT